GCCCACTTGAAGATCCGGTCGAGCACCCGAGTTGCGCCGACGAGTCAAGGAGAGACAGAGGACTCACAGCAGCAACGAGCAAAGAGGACCATCCGTCGATGATCTGGTGATTTCGATTCCCTTATTGTGCTTTATAGTAGAGATTAAGTTTGGGGAGGTTTTGTTGATGGGTATGTCTAGGTTCTATTTTCAATTTGTCTTGGTCTATTTTGCTTGCTAGTTGCTGTTGATTTGGTTAGGGTCATCTCGGGTTGCTTTTGCTTCTTTAGTATTGAAAAGAAAAAAAAACAAAAAAAATAAATATTAATTCAGTTTTTGGTGTGTCGTATGTGGAATTTCGCAATGATGAATTGAGAGTCTACTGGAATTATTTGCTAGTTATGATGACTTGGATTGATTACTTCTGGTTAAAATCTCGAGGTGTTGTCATTTGAGGGACAAAGGCATGATAGTTGACATTTATGTATCTTATTCATAGTAAGTCGTCTTGAACTGTTTATATTCTTGAAATGTGCTGGTGATTATTCTGCTTGATGTTGACTGTGTGAGATGATTTGACGTGGAAAGTTGGGAATTGAATGTCTCGAAAAAAAAAGGAGAGAAAGTAAAAAAAAAAAAGAGATGGTGTGAATAATGAATATGGAGGAAAAAATAATGGCTGTTGAAGAAAAAAAAAAGAAAAAGAAAAAGAAGATCGTGGGCTGCAACAGCTGCCAGTCTGTGAGCTTTAGTGCATCACTCTAGCACGAATAGCTAAAAACCATGGACTGTGACGGAGCTGCCGTTCCCAAAAAAAAAAAGAGAAAATGAAAAAAAAAAAAAGAAAATCGAGACTTTTGATTTCTGACTAGAAGTGAATAGGAACCAAACTAGTTAGCAAAGAAAGGGGTATCATTAATTGCATGATTGGTATACTCGGTGAAGAGATTGATGAGTTGTGGTAATTCATTGAATTGATATTTGATTGTTGGCGTTCTAAAAATGATTTCATTTCGAGTCCGGGATTATTAATTTGAGGAGTTGTAGCTATGCATCATGTGAGATGTGTGAGAACCTGAGCGAAAATTCCACGTACATATTTGTTTTGTCCGTTCTCTGTGGTTCTAGTTCTATGTTGCTTGGGGACAAGCAATTGTTTAAGTTTTGGGAGATTTGATACGTGAGAAATCTTGTATTATTTAGTGATTTAATTTGCATATTTGAACATTTGATTTTAGTGTATTATTCAAGTTTTTTCACGTATTTTATTTTGTGAACAGACATACACCAATATTTGATTTTATGTCTATTTTGCAGTTATTAAGCTTATTTGTGATGTGGGGTTGATGCGATGGCAGTTGAATTTATTTCCCTTGTGAATTGGGAAAGTTGGCCGAGAATTTGAAGAAAGTAGGATTTTAATTCCTTGTTAGGGGAGTTTGACATGGGAATTAATTGGTGAGGAGTTTCAATCAAGTTGGATTCTTTCCTTGGGCAAGTGCATTACGTGGCAACAAAAAGAAGGAAAGAAGAATTCTAATAAAATTGGACTCTCAATTTTGGAGGGCCTGCGTGAAAAGAGAGGAAGGAAAAAAAGAATTAAGGAGGATCCACCTTATTTTTTATCAAGCTTGTACGTAGTGGCATTAGAGGAAGACCATATGTTGCTGCTTTGAATCCATTTTTGAGCCGTGGACTGAGAACTATTTAGGGAGTTTGTTTTATTTATTTGTTTTTCTTTATTTTGAAGAACATGGATTATTGTTTTTGTTTTTATCATTTAGCTATGTGTAGCTAAACATTTATTCGGTTTTAGGGACGTTGAACCCTCGGTGACTATGTTTGATTAATGCAGTTTTATTTTGTTTTACTCGTCGTATAAAATTGATTGTGTTATTCTAGTTTCATGTCATAATATGTGTTCTTTAATTTAGCTTGATCACCTAAGTTGAGGATTGCATGTTAATTGCTAGATTTAAGACTTCGATCCGTGTGATTGTCGTAGTTCTTATTTCGCTTGTAGCAACTAACAGTCGTGCATTGTTAGGGATAACACAACATAAGTTACATGAACCGAGCTTGTGTGTTTGTGGCTTAGATCGGTCTATTTTCCTAGATTCTAATGCAACTAGTGGATTAAATTAGGAGAGCTTATTCCGAGTTATTCGCTAGTTAGAATTAATTGAAGAGCCTATTTCGATTAAGTATAATTAAGGGAGAATTCGGGTAGCAGAGCTTATTGCTATCTAGGACCGGTAGTTTTAGAAGACGAGTGAAACTTGATAAATGCATTAATTGGACTAGTTAATCGAGGGTGTAAACCGACCTAGGACCGATTTCATTCTCATATTTGCTAGATTAATTATTTATTTTCAATTTCATCATCTTTGCATTTTAATCATTAATCTCTAGTTTTAGTTTAACTATCGTTTTGCTAGTAGTTTCGTGTTAAATCAAATCCCTCCCATTTTTACTAATAATCTAATTAATATAATAAAATCACGGTTTATACCACACTCCCTGTGGGATCGACCCTTGCTCATCACTACTACTTGTTGGTAGGGGTAAGTCGAGGAAAATTTTATAAATATAAATTTGCCGCGTTGCGACGCGCGGTCAGTGTTTTACACAAATGAGCCAAAATAAAATTTAATAATCCAAATACAATTTTATAATCTAACACCCCCCGCAAGAGGAGCATGTATATTTACAATGTTCATCTTGGATATACAATTGAAAAAGGGTTAAGGGCTGACAGGCTTTGTAAGGACATCTGCAAGTTGTGACTCTGAAGAAACATAGTGTAAAGAAATGATCCCTGCAGATAGCTTTTCCCGGATTATGTGGCAATCAATTTCAATATGCTTGGTCCTCTCATGGTGAACTGGGTTCTTAGCAAGTGATATGGCAGATTTACTGTCTGAAAATAAAGAAGCAAGAGCAGAATGGGAAATGTTCAAATCTTTGAGCAGGTATAAGAGCCACTGGCTTCACAAGTTGTGGGAGCCAATGCCATGTACTCTGCTTCAACAGAGGATCTACTAATAGTGGGCTGCTTCTTTAATTTCCAGGAAACCAAAGAGTCCCCAAGGAAGAAAGCATATGTTGTAATGCTTCTCCTTGTATCCGACAAGCAGCCCAGTCACTGTCACTAAACCCTTTCAGAATTAAACTTGAGGTTCTGGGATAGATAATACCTTGTCCAATAGTGCACCTGAGTACCTGTTTGCAGCAGTCATATGTTGATGTGTAGGACATGAAACAACCTGACTTAGCCATTGAACACTGTGTTAAGTCAGGTCTAGTGATGGTTAAATAAAGTAACCTGTTTACCAATTTTCTATACCCAGATGCATTCACAGAAACATAGTTATAATCAGAACAAGTAGCAGATAGTTTAAGATTGGGATCCATAGGAGTTTTGGCAGGTTTAGAATCTAGATAACCAGTATCCTTCAGAATATCTAAAGCATATTTCGTTTGGCATAAGTGGATACCTTTATCAGATTGAGCAATTTCTAAGTCAAGAATACATTTCAAAGTTCCTAAATCTTTGACAGTAAAACATGAATCAAGATGATGTTTAATAGTAGTAATAGCAGACATATTGTTACATGTGACTATAATATCATCAACATATACAAGGAGAATGAGAGTAAATGCATGTTTGGTGTATACAAACAAAGAGCAATCAAAAGTAGATTGGCTGAGACCATAAGCAAGTAAACATGTAGTTAATTTTTGGAACTACTGTCTAGATGCTTGTTTTAAACCATATAGATTAACTGACATACTCTATTATCACCAGCAGTAAGATATCTAGGTGGAGGAGTCATATAAACAATTTCATCCAAATCTCTATGTAAGAAAGCATTATTAACATCTAATTGATGCAAATGCCAATTTTTTTATAGATGCAATGCTTGAGAGAACTCTAACAGTTGTGATTTTTGCAACATGTGAAAATGTGTCAAAATAGTCAATGCCCTCCTCTTGGGTGTAACCCTTGGCTACTAATCTAGCCTTATATCTTTCTACTGTTCCATCTGATTTATATTTGATTTTATAAACCCATTTATACCATATGCAGTGATTATCATGAGGTAAATCAACCAATTTCCATGTGCTAGTCTTTTCAAGGGCAGTCAGTTCCTTATCCATGGCTTCTTGCCAGAGAGGATCTAAGACTGTCTTCTTGTAAGACTTAGGCTCAGTGAGATTGGTTATTACAGCAGTAAAACATGCATGATCATGAGATAAAAATGTAGTAGATAAGTAGTTAGAGAGGGGATAAGGTGTTCCAGATGTGTGTTCATGTGTAACAGATGTGGAATTAGAGGAATGGGGCAAATAATGTTTGTATATATGTAAGTATGATGGAAGTGTTATGATCCTAGAGGATCTTCTGAGTGTGGTAGATGGAGGAGAAGGGTTATTGTCTTGTGAAAGACTGTTGGTAGGAGATGATTGTATTTGGGTAGGAGAATGAGGTGAGGTAATATTTGGTTGGGGTGAATAGTTGTTCATAGAATGTGTGGTACTTGTGTCAGGTTGTTGAGTTGTAGGAGGATCATGGTATGAAAATTCTGGTGGTTTGGGAAATAGAGTATCTGAGGTGTTGGTAAGTATAGAGGTATGTTTAAAAGGTAACGCATGTTCATAGAAGCACACATTTTTGGAAATTTCTATTTTCTTGGTGTCCAGGTTATAAAGTCTATACTCTTTACAACCAATTGGATAGCCAAGAAATATGCATTTGGATGCTCTATGATCAAATATGGATCTATGGTCAGTTAAGGTAGATGCATAGCAGAAGCAACCAATAATTTTTAAATGATCAAGAGTAAGGGTTTTGTTGTGTAGTTTTCCAAAAGGAGAAATGTTATTATGCACAGTGGATGGTATTCTCTTTATTATACAAGCTGCAGCTGTAACACAGTCAATCCAAGAATGTAATGGCAGATGAGCATGAAAAAGAATTACCCTAGTAACACAGTCAATCCAAGACAGCTGTAACATAGTCAATCCAAGACAGCTGTAACACAGTAAAAAAGAAAGGTTGCATGAATGGTCCCCATCTCCATTGATTCACCCATCTCAAGCTTCAGCTGTTTCACAATAAATTCTGTTACCCTGTCAATTTCCTTCTTTCTGGCTCCAGCAACAATAGAGATAATTTCTTCCACAGGGCGGGGCTTTCCTTCCTGATAACATGCCATATAAATGCAACCAGCAACCAATGCATCTAAGTTTCTTCCTTTAGTACACGTTTGATCTTCCAACCTCCTATATATTTCACATGCCCAATCCTTGATGGTAGACACAAGGCTCAACCTATCGGCCATATTAGCAATCGTCTTGAATGCCACCATGATAGCCCTGACCGGACCTCCACCCCGATTCAACAGCCGAGCCAGGGACGGATCCTCGCTCGACACGTTCATCCCCCTCGAGATCACCGTCGTGAGGGCAGCGTTCCCCAGACGTGGGTTCATAGGAACCTCGAGAGCACTCGCGTGGGCCTCTTCCTCGGATGCCTCGTCACATTTCAATGGAGCACGGAAAGAGTCCTCCGACGAGACCCGAGGGGGAGAGATATGAACGACGAAGAACCAAAGCACGACCCACATCTCCGTATAAGTGTTCTTCTACCGATTCGGGCTCCTCGTAAAAAATCGGAGGGGCATCATACAAAACTCCCCCAGTGCCCTCGGTAACGCGTCCGCCATGAGGGCGCGAGAGCTGCTCTGGTGCGGGCAAGAGGCCTGTCGGTGGCCAGCTTCTGCACACGAAAAGCACCTCAGCCCGTCCCCTGACCGCGAACCAGCCTGCGCAGCCGACGCTCCAAACCCTCCAGCAACCCCACTTGAACCTCCAAGTGCTGAAAAATCGCGCAGTCCTGTCGCACTGTTGTGACCTGTTTGAGGTCCAACTGCGACCGATGGACGGCCAGGCCCCGTTGATGAAGCTGGTTTTCCTTCGCGTGGCGGTGGAAATCCCCTCGAAGATAAACGACGGTGAAGCTGCTGCTCCACGAGTAGCGCATGCTGATGTGCGACTGAAACGGTGTCCGGTGAGAACAAATTTAAAGTATCCCGGATGGCGATCCACAGCCTGCCAATGTAACGTGACACCAACTGGTCGTTTGTTTCTCGTATATCAACTCTCGTGAGGAAATTATAAAACTCCTCGGTATATTCATCGACCGACCGCGTTCCTTGCCGAAGATTTTGCAATTGTTGATACATAGTTCAGACATTGTTGGGTCGGTCCTTGCCGAAGATTTTGCAATTGTTGATACATAGTTCAGACATAGTTGAAAGGCAAAAATTCTTGTTCGATGTGTTTACGAAATTTGGACCAAGCCATTGTTTTGGACTTACCCATGCGACGACGTGATCCCTTTAGCTGTAGCCACCATGACGCTGCACGACCTCTTAATAGGGCCGCGACGAGCCCGACCCGTTGCTCGTCCGACACCTCCTTGAAATCCAAGAGCGACTCGACCGCAGGCAGCCAATCAAGGAATTTTGCAGCATCGAGGCCACCAGTGAATTTGAGAATATCCACACGAACAGAGCTTTCCCAGCGTCTGTTATCGCACGCGTCTTTGCCCCCCTGCGGATCATCAAACCCGAAAGGGTTTACCTCCTCCACTGTGGCGCCGGATTCACCGTCCTTCTCCTTGCGCGGCTGTCACTGTCCGCCACCAATCATGCCTGACCGCGACCCCCACGGCCACCAAGAAACCCTCCGTGTTTGCCGTCACGTCCATCGAGCCCGTCGCGGTTCGTCTGATCGCGTTACATCATCGTCTGGAGAGCTAATCGAATATCTTCCATGCCTGCTGAGAGGTCCGACATCTCACGCCCAATCGTCTAGAACTGTCGTCCGAAGCCCTCGGCTTGTCGAGTGAGGGATTCTATGGCAGCGTCCCACCTATTGTCGGTCGTCGTTCTGTTTTGACGGCATCTCAGAGTGTGGCTGGTCTCTGGATACCAACTGATGTAGCGCAGCTTCGAACGAAAGGGAAAATGAGATAAAAATTTCAAAAGATAAAATCTTATTCCATAATCACCAATCTATTCTGTTACAAGAAAGAGAATAAATAGAGTTGATGATCTCCTAAATTCCCTAACTTTCTAGACAAGTAAATAAAAATAAATATTCTCATAATCAACAAAACAAGATAAATAAGGAATAATAATAATAATAACAACAACAACAACAACAACAATAATAATAATAATAATAATAATAATAATAATAATAATAATGCAACTTTGATTAACACCGGAAGTGGATCGTATTTTTCCAAAAAAGTCATCACGAGCTCATCTCCATCACTCTAACAATTGCAAAACTTTTATTAATTAAAAATGGTAACCATAGTTGAAGGGTGAAAGTGCACCACCTACAACACTTCCAATTACATAGCATTCACATTGGCCCAAAAGTTAAAATTAATCTATGCAGCAAAAGCTCAAAACAGACTTCACAATATAAAATCACAGACACTGTATCACTAAACATTTCCCTAAAAATGCTACAAAAGCGATTTACAAAAAATGACAACATTTTCTCAAAAATGAAGAATATAAAAAGGAAAAACAATCATGTTTCTCTCTACAATTCATGTCAAAAACCGGATTAAGTGCAACAGTAAAACACGAATCGTACACTATGGAACTTCGGGGATCTGGGCAAAGACGAACGGACACGGGAGACCGACAGAGACTACGAGAAACAGGCGGAGACGGACTTAGGCGGAGACGGGAGGAGGCGGACAGAGACGTCGAGACGGCCGAAGACAAGCTGAGATGGGCCGGAGACGACCAGTTACAGGCGCGGATACGTGCACAGATGGGAGATTCTGATTTTGGGGCCAGGGTTCAAATGCGATTATATGCGAGTGAATTGAGAAATCTGATTGTATTTTGTTTCTTTTTTATTTTATTTAATTAAAAGTTTTTGTTAGGAGAGTGGCGGTAAATTTAACCATGGTTGGTTTGTAGGTTTGGTTGAGATTTTCATCATTTAAAAAATAAAATAAAATAAAAAAGTTGATATCTACACGTGTCAGCTGTTGAGCCCTCACCGGTAGGATCGAATTTAGTAATTTACCCACTCGGAGACCCCAATCCTCGTTATGGCGTGCTACATCTATCTCCGCCGCCTCCTCTGCCGTCGCTGGCGTTGGGTTGCTTCGATTCCGACTGAATTTTCATCCGATCTCTGCGCGAACACTGTCGTTTCTTCTCAACATATTTTCTTTTCGTGCCCCAATTTCCTCCGCAAACGGTGGCTCAGCACCAACGCCGAGACGGCGGGTCCTCCCGAGCTGGCCGGGATGACCGCGTACGATATCCTTGAGGTGTCTCGGACCAGCTCATTAGCTGAAATCAAAGCCTCTTTTCGTAGATTGGCCAAGGAAACTCATCCTGACCTAGCTCACTCGCAAAACCATTCCGCTTTAGCTTCTAGGAAATTCGTTCAAGTCCTCGCTGCATACGAGGTATTTTCTCTTTCTCGTGTCCATAATTTATCCGTTGTTTTCTTGATATGTTCTGTGGATTTTGAGTTAGTTTGAAATTTGAGTACTTATGTAGTCATTTCGGGGCCCAATCTGTTTCCTAAGTATAATAACAGTACTCTGTATGATCTTGCGGATTCAGTTAATCTGATCACACTGATTAGTGTGTACTGAACGAGGTGCAATACATAGACAACTCCGCAATTTTAACTATTGTATAATGTTTCCAAAACACAATGATTTATGAACCCAGGAGTTCCAAAACACATATCCTTGGGGTGACACGCTCTTATGGGAGTTATTTCTTAATTGAAACTCAGATTCTCTCGGACTCTACAAAGAGAGCTCATTATGATCACCATCTTCGGTCGAAACGGGTCCCCATCGAGCAACACTATAGGCGGGGTGCTACCATCTTTAAATACAACACCCACCAGCACCAGGCTGAGCAGATGGAGGTTGTAGAGTGGTTAAAATGGTACAGACATGCAATTAATGATGTTTTATCTGAAAGAAGAGTGACATCTGGGTCGGGTTATTTTGATATGCTGGAGAGGGACTTCTATTCCGCCATGCGTGCGGCATATTACGGACCCGAGATTGAGTCTGTGGATCGCCTTCCTGACCGATTTGAGGCCGAGGAGAGGTCTGTGCAAACCACTCCAGAGGTACTACACTTGGTTTCGGGTCGGGACCTTTTTGGGATGGTATGCCTAGCTGATAAGCAATATCAACTATCGTGTGCGCACACTGAAAAACTAGGTTCCACGGCTTTGAATTCGGTCCCGTTGTCTCATAATGTGAGCACAAGGTTAAAAAGTGATGTAAATGAAGATTTGGGCTTCTTGAAGCAATCCAGTCATGCTGATTTTCTATCGTCCGATGCATATAGAGATTTAGAGTTGCACTTATCGGGTAGAGTTATTGCTGTGGCTACAAGGACTCCACCTGGAAGTGGTGCTGCGAGTGTGGATGAGGATTCTATAGACCAGATACATGTTTATCTTGCTTCATGCGAGGACCGATTGCATGCAGATTCCTCGCTGGAATCTGAATTTCTCTTGGGAGTTATAAAAGGTCTGGGGACCACCTCGGAAGAAGCGACTTGCTATGTCTACAATGGTGCTGGTGTTAAGACACATATGATTATGAAGCATCGAACATTGTTGGTACGTTAAATTTCCTAAATAAACATAAAAACTGGACCACCATCACTAAAATTAAAATTTTGAAGGGAAAGGGTTAAGAAGCTGAAAAAGTTGAACAAAGTTCTTCATAACTCGTATTAATTGTGAAGCTTAAAATGTGACAGTAAATGATCATTGGAAAAATCCGCATCGACATACTAAGTACTCATGCATAAGATGCGGCGCTGTTAGTCTCTTCACTAATAAAGTCTTATTTTAATGAAATTTGAGAATTATCTTTCTTTCCTTTATTTTGTTTATAACCCGAATTGTTTGGTGGACACAATATCTGGTTAATATACCCTTTCCACGTGGGCAAAAAAGCGCAATTGAATATGATTTCGATGAAAATTAATTTATTCATTAGAGAAAAGTGTTTGTGATGATACAAAAAATACCTGACGATAGCCCGAGACACGTGGCGAGGATGTATGCTCCGACTCCTTTGCGCGCCGACGCCTGCAAAACAGAGCCCCAGAGACAACAAGACCAACTCTCCAAGGGTAGATCCTCCAATTCTTAAGTTAGAACTAGGGTGGCAGCTGTAGATTAGGTGTAGAAGAGAAGAGAGAATGCTCTCTTACCTTTACCTAGGTCGTCCTTTTCTAGGTGTTCAACTACCTAAGATTTCCCTTTGCAACTCCTCAACCCAATAATATAGTGGACCAAGCTCCGAAAATTGGGTTTCCTCTGGACCTTGGGCTCAAAACTGAGGTTGGACCTTAGTTTTAACCTTGGACACTCACGGTCCTTGGAATACACATGTCTCTAATTTACTGAGCCACTTTGTCTAATTTACCAAGCCACGTGTCGTCTCATAAAAGTATATTTTTTTCCTTATCACTTGCCCCCCATTTTATGTGCGCGATGATTTTACGTGTACAGAAAATAATCGATGGGATATTCTTAGATGAACATCTATTATTGGTGTATATCCGGTACTGCTGCAAAGGTAGACACGAGTTGCTTGCTATAAAAGGACTCCCTAGCCCAGTAATTTGGTGGACAAAGGTTCGGAAAAAGGGCTTCCTTTGGACCTTGGGCTCAAAACTGAGGTTGGACCATTGTTGTAACCTTAGACACTCACGGCCCTTTGAACACACGTGTCTCGAATTTACCGACACGAGTCGTATATTTTTCCGTATATCAATATGGAAACAGTTTTGTTAAGAAAAAGAAGAATTTGGAAAACGTGATTGGATATAAGATGAAATTGTAATGATTAAAATTGATGTGATGTAAAAATAATAAATAATGAGGGGTAGTTGGAGATGTGTTTGAATGAATTTTAAAGTTTAGGAAACATGTCGTAACAATTGAGCTTATTTAAAAGTTATATTGGTCGAACAAATGGGGGAAAGTTGGGTGAATAGTGGTACCATTTACTTTGGTTTATGTGTTGTTTTTTTGAGAGTGCTTATATACTAGATTTGTATTATAGAAATAAGCGTTCCTAACAATGACCTTATTTTTGTGTAGATTCCAATAGCTAGTCCTTATTATGGATTTCATGTGCTCATCGCATAGGCACATGTATGTTTCAGGTGAAACATTTGCATTGGTTTCATGTTGGAGAGAAAGTTTCAGTGTGTGAATGCAGATGCACTCGAGCCCGTTTGCCACCAAGCAAGTAAGCAGCATCGATTATACTTCTGAACTTTCCATGTATATAATCAATTGAGCTTTGTGGTAATTTTAATGTTTTTTGTCTTGCTCTTCTCTTTCTGTTTCTGTTTCTGCCAAGATATACTTTCAGGAATTGCTGCGGATTTCCTCTTTCATGTTTTTTTTTCTTCACATTTAACAGAGGACGCTTTGTTCTTTATTCTTTTGAGAACTTTCACCTTTTTTCCATCATTTACTTCTACAGAAAATTTTCTTCGTTCCATTTCAGTGTTATCAAACCACTGACGGCATCACGGAATCATTCAGTTGATGTTGACACTTGCTAGTAAAATTAAATCATGAAATCATCCTGTCTTACTAGCCGTACACTGCTATCTTAGTCTTTTGCTAGTGCAACCCGAATCGTTTGCGTCTTCTTTTCGGAAACATATTTAACTTCTTGTGGTACAGATTTTGGTTGTTTGAGCCTCGTAGTGCGATGCATGACATAGGAGGGTGGTACATTGAGACATTTGGAAGAGATAATAAAGGAAAAACTGTTCCAGGGCAAAGATATTGGGACAATTTGGATACCAATGCACATAGTGAGGAGTAAGTAATGTGTCTAAAATTCTTTCAAATATCGTTTCCAGCACAGTTTTCACCGAAAATAAACGTTGCCAGTTAGTTTCTACCAGAAACTAAAACCTGTGCTGACTCAAATTAAATATCTGCAAGAACTAGAGTGTATTAGCAGTTAGTGGCTATCACTTAGCTACTCTTTTGAAATCAGTTTCCGATTTCGAGTTGTGTAATATTTAATTTTATCTGCAGAAGACTTCATCCGGCAGTCTATTTGCTTGCTCTTGCCTATAGAACTCTAGATATTGAAGATGCTAGAAGAGGGAAAAAGACATTTAAGGACAAAGTTGAGGCGAAAATGTCTAATATATTGAGCTGGCGCAAAAAATTTACCTAAATTATGAGCAACTGGTTCTTTATTGGATGGGTGGTAACTTCTGATCTTAGGCTATACAAGTTCCGTGATGTTCTGGGACTGGGGCGCCTTGTCATCATTTGGCGTGTCGGTTACTGCAAATCCTCTCTTGGAAGGTGATGGAGGTGATCTGAAATGTAAGAAAGACTGTTTTCTGATGGGCTTTTGGAGCATCTGGAGTTCTTTCTAACAGGTTTGGATATGGTAATGGCATTTGATATTTTGAGCGGGAGGAATACTGCAATGCCCGTAGTCACTCGAATGTGTCGACTCTTTAACTTTTAGGGTTAATTACCAAAAGTATGTTTGAAGTTTGACCTAATTACTGAAACTCCAAAGTATGTTTCAAATTATGAAAATGCCCTTGAGATTTTCTTCTTTTATGTTTAACTCATAAAAGTTTTTCGAAACCCGTTGCGGTTGTATAGATATACGGTTAGCCTTCTTGTTATAAGGCCAGAAAAAAATCTCATGTTCACTTTTTGTAATGGTGAAAATAGACTTTTTTTTTTTTTTTTTTTTGTGATTATATCAGACTTCAAGGGTACCTTTTGTAATTGTATCTTGTCAAGCTTGTGAAGTTAGATCATAGAAGACCTCTGGAGATAGAATCGGGGTGACCCTTTCTCCTGACTGAGCCCATCAATGAACTCCGTTATGCAAAAACAGTCTTGCCGTTTGAGAACGACAGATTGTGTATGAGATGACTTAGATATACCTGAGAGCTGAGCTTCAGTAACCTTTACCTAATCTCCTATTGAGTTATGAGCTGATGGGTTAGCATGAGTTGACTTTGTGAGTTGACCTGGCCAGAGGACGAGCTAGAGGAACTGATGAATTGAAACCTGGTTCGGCGAAAAGTACTTAGACTATGAAGAGTCGATCTTTTTGTTATATATAGTTTCAAACCTCGGTTAGGGAATCCTTGTGCGGTTTGAGTAATGTATGATTTGAGTTTAAACATGTATGCGATGCTTTTTTTTTTTTTTTTTTAATTCCTAAATGTGTTCTTTCACCGACTCCAATTTTAAGTGTTCAACATATGGTGCATTGAGTGCTACTGATACTCTTCTGTTTTTATCTCATATTGTGTAGCACAAGAATGATTGTGCAGTATATGAAAGTTCCTGTATAGTTCTTCAGCTTAAACTGAGTTTTGATATTGTGAAATGAAGTAATTGTTGAAGAGAATGTAGAAGTTCAGGAAGAAAATGTGAGTGCGAAAGTTGAAGGATGAGTTCAATCCGCCCGTATGGGCACCACCCATACATACTTAATCTCCTTTAAATATAATTAAAAAGGGTATAAAATTGCTTAAAATATTATGAGTGATGAACTCAGAACAAATAGGAATATGGTTGTGCTGTCATAGGCACTCGAATTAATTTAATTAGATGACTCTAACTAAGTGATTAAAATGGGGGAGATTTGATTTATAATCTTAATTGTTTAATTAACAAGAAAATTAAGAGAGTAATGGTAAACGATTCTTAAGCAAAAAATTCAATAGTAATAGCAAGATGAAGATAAAAATATAGCTAAAGTGCTCCGGTTGAATTGATTTCCACCCCGAATTATTCTACTGATCATTGATACAAATATTATCAATTCATAAATATGCAGTTGTCGTTGAACGATGAATTCTATATCCTAAATTGGTTATGCAAAATAAATCATTCTACACAACCCTTATTACTCGGCAATTTCTAACATCATGTAAAATTATCCTAGTAATAGCATTAAGAACTAGAGGCCGACAACACAATCAACAAATAACTAATTTGCTAAATATTAACTTGTATAATTATTTGCCTAACAATGGTCACACCTATATCTGGTCAACTACCACACTCAGTTGCTTTTTACGATAGATAAATTATCTAAATCTGACTCAATATCTACAAAGCAATAGATTGAGTGCACAAGACAGTAATTGATCAAGCTACGATCCTAACACAAAATGATAAACATACACACACACAAAAGACTAATACGAATATGAATTAATAGATAAAAATTAATTAGATCTCACGGTATTAAGTTCGGAGTTTCAATCATGTTCAACCGAAGCGAAGAGAATTAGTCGTGTAGGGCCTCCATAAATCTAGCAAAAGTATAGAAGAAATTTAGAAAAAAGATAAAAGGAATGAGCTCTCTGATCCAAGCGCTGAGACTTCCAGGACACATCCTTTTCCTTGTGACTGATGTATGGTGTCTTCAAAAACTCCTCTCCCCATGTTTATTGACGAACTTTTATGTATACCACATGATTTGAAAATATATAGATATATATATACTGATTTCTTCTCCACGAGCCCGAGCTTTAGGCCTCGCCTTCGTCATATCCAACTTGATCCCCCCGCTGGGAAGGAGGGGAGGGACGCGCAGCCGCCGAAGTCCATCGTCCTCGGTTGAAGCCCGATGTCCAACGACCTCTGCCACTCACGAGCCATAAGGGACCGCCGCACGATCCTAGGCGATCACTTCAGCTGCTGAATTCGTTGGTTACGCGCCATTCCACCCAGCCGAGAGGCGAGTGGAACCCCTTAGCCCTCCGTCGCCGAATGTCATCATCAGGCTTCAGGAGAAAAAAAATAAAAGAAGAAGAAGAAGAAGAATACAGGGAAATACGTATGAGATTTGGAGAAGAAAAATGGAGAATAAAGAAGAAGAAGAAGTTGAAATGAATATAAGAAATAATCTTCAGATTTTGATAATGGCGTCACGAATAAAGAAGAAGAATATTGATTAAATATGTAAATTAAAGATTTTCTAGATTTCTGATAATTTTGCAAATAAAAACACTAGATCTTGTTGAATTGCTAATATTTACAAAGTGGTTTCATTTATATAATAAAAAAGATATGTCTAACAGTCTAATATAGGGTGCAATTATACCTGTTTATTACAGCTAGTCTTTTAATATTTATATTGGGCTTAGTATTAAAAGGCCCATGTTAAGAACGGGTAAGCTATGCACCGTCCGTTTATTCTGACATGGCCATCTTCAAACAAATCTCAGTGTTGCCATGTTGGTTATACGTGCTCCAAGTCGAGCTCATGCGATCTAACTGCATCAAAAATATCGACGATGGTAGTTTCTACTCGAACATACATGATAAAGTCGAAAACACGTCACTTAGGCACAAATATCCAACACATAATCCAAATTTTACTATAGTAGAAATACATATTTTCGACTTATCAAACACCCCCCACACTTAAAACGATGTTTTTACTCAAGAATCAAGTCAAATCCATTATCTCAACTCATAATCATCGTCTATCGTCCAATACCAATTCAAAATATATAGAATGCATCAACACACAAGTTAAACTTGAATCCCTATCAACCAACCAACGAGAAATACACCCAAAAAGCACGTAACTTAAACACATGGAAATCAACATTTCTCACGAGATTCACTTTTCACCCAAAGTGTATAGGCTAGATGTAGGTGTACGCTCAAGTCAAGACATCGAAGATTTTTACCATAAGCTTGCAAAGATATCACGCCCAACCACCCAAAATGAATATGAATAAACACAAAATCAAAGAATTAAAAACGGGTTGTAATGGTGCTTTGGGTAAGGTGGGATAAGAAAGATAAAAACTAACATAATCTAACTACTCATACAAACTCCTCATAGACTAAGCTCGACCAACATAATAGGCAAGATAATCATGCGATCTCAACTTGCAATCAACATAGAACTAACCTAACACAATACTCTTTGAATTATCATCCTCTCCAATTTTCTCTATTTTTTTTCTTTTTTCTTTTTGTTGAAAGAGAAGATATAGCAAATGGCGGATAACGAGATTACGTACAACGCACAATCAAATCTAAGTACATAGAACAATGAGCTCTTCTTTATCTAAAAGAAATTCATATAATTGACCCGATTCAAGGTTCAAAAGATGGTATCAAGAAAAGAATATTCTAGCTTGTAGCGTGATCATGACTCAAAGAAAAGGCTAAGGCTCAAAGAGGCTTACTATTGATTTGTAAAAAAGGGTAGACTTCAAAAGCAAGACAATAACGATAAAAAGATTAGTCTTAAGTACCTTTATTCTAACTTTATGCATTTAATTTCATCGAAAGTGTACACATAGACAAGCATAACAAATCAAGTTCTAGAAAAATCAATTAGTCGAGACATCACACATTCAAAAAATGGAGCACGATATTCAATATATGCTCATAAGCTCAAATCTCACCAATAAAGGGGTAATAACCAAGTGTTAATCCCATGTGTTGTCCATCACATAATCATCAAGTATAATATTCATCATCATGTAGCACCAAGGGCTTAAAAAAAAGTCTGCAAGCACAAGAAGAAAGTTGTTCCAGTGAATTGACATAGATGAATTGAAAGCACCACAAGAGAAACAACAAACAAGACTCAATACCATTAAATAAATCTCAAAACTCTGACAAACACTCTTGACCGCACGTCAAATAATATAAGGTAATGCTAGGCGTAGAGACTCACAAAATTTTATTCAGGTGGCAGCGCTTGTTATGCATGAATAATCTTCAATTCTCTCAAAAATTTGTGACATCTCCGATTAAAGTTGCTCGCGCTACCTTATTCTATACTAAAGTCCAGGTTTGACCTTAGCTTTCTTTGTCAGACATCTTTAATGATGTCTAACTTGTCCACGGTTCCAACATGGTTTGTTCGCTTTCAGTTTCTTATTTTTAGCCTTAGCCTTGTCCTTATTGGCCATTTTGATATTTGTATTTGCATGGTTCATTTTTTTTTTCCATTATCATATTAGCCTTAGGTTCAAATGTCATATTATGTACTTTTTTTCGATGTTTTTCTTCTATGTTGATTGATATCACTATATTATCCATTGTCAGTTTCCCTTTTTGATGCTTCAACAACATTTCAAAACTTATCAAAGACTTTAGAAATTTATCAGCAAAAATCCAATTTTAGTCCGCTAACTTGTCCATTGTCCACTTTTGGTACACTATATTTTCTCTCATAAAAAAGGGTTCATTTTTTACAATTTTCATCAGTTTTAGTACACTACTCCAGTTGGCAGAATTACGAGATGACATGGACCGGGACTGGAACTACGTGGAGGATAGGATATTGTCGTGGTAGGATAAAAACATGATTTGTCATCTCATAATCCCGGGCCACGTGATGAGTTTACTAAAACTGATGAAAAGTGTAACATAATGGACCATTTTTGATGAGGTGAAAGATAGTGTACCAAAAGTGGACAATGGACAAGCTAGCGGACCAAAATTGAATTTTTACCGAAATTTATCAATACTTGACATAACAAAAAATATTTCAGGAAGTTCCATATCAACATCAGTGAGGGAATGCTCCAAGTTGATAAATTCATGTGTCTGCTCAGATACAGACTTTCCTTCAGCCATCTGATATTTTAGAAACTTAGAAACATAATACTTTTCGAGACCTTACTCTTCAGTATTATATTTCTTGTCCAACTCATCCTACAACGACTAAGCAATGTACGAATCAGAACAATAAACATCAAATATTTGACAAAGCTGACAAAATAGCTTCTCGGCCTATTTGATCTCTTTCGTTCCACTAAGCAATTTCAGTTTCTTTGGGATCCTTATCAGTTGGTTCAGGCGTAGCCACCTGAATTACCGTCAAAAGTCCTTTCACCATAAGCCAAATTTTCATTTATTGTTGCCAACATTTGAAAAATTGCCCCAAAAAGTTTTTCGGTAAGCCGGAGAAATCGACGTTTGAATTCAACATATCATTAAATAATTCGGTGCCAGGACCACTTGCCATAGTGATAAATTTATGAGAGAAAATAATAAAACGAATACGTGTAACACTTTCAAAAAATCTCGTTTTAATCACAACATATGTTTCTTCAAGATTGTCTTAGAAATTAATGTAAAATGGCCAATTAAAACGAATTTTAACACATATATGTATTAAGAATTTGTAAATAGAAACCACAAACATCAACCACAGGAACGTGAGATGAAAACAGATTTCTATTAGTAATAAATAAATTTATTATAAAAAAAACAACTTAACTGACAGTTTTATATTGTCATACAACACATGTAGTCGAATCACATAGAAAATCTGTTTGTCTTGAAACACACAGACGCCCCGGTACTGTGCAACGAGTACTATGCTTTTCCCCCAGGATAAGATGGATCAAAGTGTGAAGACTGTACTATCTAACACACTCACCTCGATCAAAATCTATGTTGCCAAGAACCCTTATTTTTTCTGAGTCTTTGAAGGATGAAAGAGAATATATATATGTATATGTTCCTTTTTGTCCTTCACTTGATGTCCTTACCTCAAGCTTGCATGCACTATTTATAGTGATCATAAGACATACTTGCAACCAACGAAGAGGAGATGCTTTTAATGCATTCATTCAGACAAAAGTAATGAAACTTTGAGTTTCATTTCACTTCTCAAAACCGAACAAACCTCTCAATTATGTTTTGCCAAAATGTTTTGGAGGATAATGTTCCACTACCCACGGTGGGCACATGTTAATAAGCGTGCTTGTTTCGGGGACAACTTCTTTTGAGTCCGGAAGTAGGTGTTCGCTACATTGTCCATCACGACTGTAAACCGTGTTCCCAATGTCAATCGGTTATGTGACATGCACACATTGGTGATGTTAATATGTTCAAAAAAATACATCATCAATGTGTGCATGCCACATAGCCGTGGGCATATTAACATGTGTCCACCGTAGTTAGGTGAACATTACTGATGTTTTGAACGTTTATATTTGTAACATTAAATACACCATTATATCTACTGACTCCCACAAAATATATTTTCTCTTTTTACATGTAATCCTTATTACAATGGTTTAAATCGGGGCCGACCCTGGGGCAGGGCCAGCGGGGCGACCGCCCAGGGCCCACAAATTTTGAGGGGCACCAAAGCCAGGAAATTTACGTAATTACCTATTATACACATAGAGTTTAGTAAAAAACTAACAACATAAAATACTTATAAAATTACAAATCTGTCTACAAAAACACGTGAAATCGAGGAAGAAGAAGTTGGAAGAAAAATAAGAGAAATTACAAAAGAAATTTGGGGGTTTAGGATGAAAATGGAGGGGAAAGAAGGAGGAGAATTTGGGGCGGTGCATGCGTGCGTGCAAAAGTAATAAATTAGAGAAGACCAAGAAAATAATAAGAAAAATAAACTGTTTTGAACTGTCATAAAGTAACACGTATGTATTATATAAAAAAGATTATAATGGCTCGTCAAAAAGTAAATAAAAAAACTAAACAGTCATACCATGCCATTTTCTCCACCGGGCAAAGTGATTATTTTTATGGTTATTATATTTGGACCTTAAAATAAAATGGGGCCTTAAAATGTCGTATGAATAATCACTACACATGGTTATTATGTTTGGGATTTTTAGTTTTGTATTTACTAATAACCAACTACTTTAAGTTATGTTAATTAGTATTTTATAAATTTTGTTAGTATTTTCACTAATTATTTTTGTAGAAAATCAATTTAATTGATAACAAAAAAAAAAAATATGGGAGCACCCGCGCTTGTCAACTTTTCTTTTATAAAATTTTATATATAATCTTTATTCTTCAATATTTTTTTACTAATACAACACCCGTGTATTACACGGGTGCTTGTTAAAAATTATTCTTAAATTTTAAAATTTATGAGAAAACTATTAAATTTAGTTTACTTTTTTACAAAAAAATATATTACTATATATTTTAAAATGATATGATTTTATTTTTCTAATTAATATTTAAAATAATTTTATTATTGTTACAAAGATAAATATAAATTATTTTTTTTATACATACAATATGGATGTTAAATCGAAGCTCATGAAAAGAAGATTAATTTGATATATTACATATGGAAAACTGATAAAAAATACAAAAGTTATTAACTTTTAAAATATATATATAATTCAATAGTTATAATAAGGAATAATATTAAAATACAATTAATACATGTAACATGACCATAAATAATCAACATATTTATGGTAATCCAAGTCTAATTATTTTTGGTTTGGAATTAAATTAAAACTAGTACAACACCGTGTATTACACGGGTGCTTGCTAATTTTTTTCTTAAAATTTAAAATTAATGAGAAAAAGTAGTTTGAAAATTTAAATACCTTTTATAAGAATATATATATTATATATTATTATGATATTTTTTATTTGTGCGACTTACTTGTGTTATATTATACTAATTTTTTAACTTACACTATATAACTACATTAAATATAAATATATCAATTGAGAAATAATTTTATTTTTCTAATGAATTTTAAAAATATTATTATTTTTTATTATTATAAAGATAAATATAATTTATTTATTTTATATATACAATATGGATATCAAATCGAAGATCGTCAAAAGATGATTAATTTGATATATTATATATGTAAAACTGAGAAGAAATACAAAAGTTATCTACTTTTAAAATACATTTATAATTCAATAGCTTATTGAAGGAAGCAAATCAAAATTTAGGGATATATTAGTCACTTAGTGTCTCACTATGTAAAATTACAAATAATTAAAGGGTTATATTAGTAAAAGTGATATTAAAATACCTAAGTTAGCTAAATAATATTTATGGAATACCCGAACCTAGATTATTAATTATTAATATATTAATATTATTTGTCCAAACCTAATTATGAAGCATGATTCTTCATTCTTCGCCAAATAAGATTCCGAAGCACCAGAAGCAGCCGCGTAGGCTCAGCGCATTCTGGAATTATATATAGGGAGGATTTACCCAAGCCTAATAACGAAGCATGTAATTTTGCCACATAGGATTCCGAAACACCAGAAACAACCATGTAGGCTCAGCACGTTCTGAATTAATTTATAGAGAAATAGGGGAATAAAGGAATAATAATATGATAAATTAGTTATGAACTATAAAATAATACGGGCACTATTTATCGTCTAGGCAAATTAGTAAGAAGAAGTTTATGGGATAGATGATAAAAATAAGATGGGATTAGGTGGTACCGCTGATTGTTAGTCAAATTTTGGCTAATTATTTCCAACATCGGAGGCTGCGTAGTAGTCAACTAAAATTAAATAAAGAAATAAATATTGGAACTATTTGAAAGAAAAGTCAAGTATCGCATTATTATTGAACCTTTTTTCCTTAAAAAAATGTTCGAAATTGAACTTTTATCAATGATGAAAGATTTTGAGGAAGACGAAGTCCCGCCGTGTAGGAAGTCCAGTCGCCACATGATTCTTTACCTTTCTCTTCTCCTTAGATCATACAAAAAAATTACAGAAAAAAGAAAAAAAGTTGCAGAAATCGAGGTAGTTACCCCTCATCACGCTCACAATGAAGATCAAAGGAAACAAAATTGGGGGAGGAAGTTGGACCAGCCTAGGGTTGCCGTCGATTTTCCTCCTGTGCCTCTTCTTCTTTCTCGCCGGTTTTTTCGGTTCATCGCTTTTCTCGCAGGTGCGTCAACTCCATTGTTGGTGTTTTGTTGCGATTGTTCGTATGTATATAATCATGAAAAGGGATCCATCGATTTTGTTAACAGTAGTTATTGCCGGCAGGATCAGGATGTGACCGGTAATTTGAAGCCCCGGATGCTGGGATCGGAGGAGGAGAAGATGGTGGAGTTCGAGACGCTGCCACGTGGGGATTCTGGCGGAGACTCCGTCGAGAGGATTCCCTTTCAGGTGGTTACTTTCCGGTGGAGTTTTTGTTGTTTTCTTTTATTCTGGCGGAGACTACTGTACTGCCTGAATAATCTGTCAGGCAGTACAGTAGTTTCTATTGGCTGGTGCTGGTTGAGGAGTGAACTGATTTGTTTGATGTGATATGGTGAACCATAAGTGGTCAGCTTGGTGTTAAATTCTTAGAGGAAAGACTAATTAGATATTAATCACTTGTCTACCAATCTACTTTCCTGTGAGTCGAGACATAATGTTCGTTGAGATCACAAATGCAGATTGCTAGCTTTTTAGTTGAAATAGATTTTGGCGATCCATGGTTATCATTTGGAATTTGTAATGTGTGACTTTACAAATAGGTAAGTTTATGAGTGGATTTCGTATGAGAAAGTTAAGGAATGTAGCTGTATAGTTGATGAAGCGTCATTCCATTTATTGGAAACGATTTAGCAGATGGATAGTTCATTGGTGCTGTTCTACATTGCAATGGCATCCTGCTACTGGTGCAAGTAAAACTTTAGTTTGTAAAAGAGATGGTTTTAAGTCCAGAATGATGATCAGTTATTACAATTCCATTCGAAGGGGGTACTAATGGAGCTGTTGCGTGATTTTGCCTATATATTGTTGACATCATAGATCCCTATTAGAAACAATTGCATCTGGTGAGATTAGTCTATGGGATATATACCTGAGAGAAAGCATATTATGGACATGAGATTCATCTTTACAGTGTGCTAAAAAAATGTCAGCCTTGTGTAATTGATGATCCTTTTGTTGATTATTCTACATTAAGTGGGTTTAAGTTGCTGGAATTAATTGAAGAACATGTTACATCATTGAGTTGTTGTATCATGTTAAGCTGGTGTGTCTCTTATTTTTTTAATTGTGGACATTAACTTTTGTGCTTGATTTTTGTATGTAGATCCTGAGCTGGAACCCTCGAGCATTATATTTTCCAAATTTTGCTACTGCAGAACAATGCCAAAACATTATTAAGATAGCAAAAGTCCAGCTCACACCATCATCCTTAGCTCTTCGTCCTGGAGAAACAGCAGAAACTACTAAAGGAATTAGGACAAGGTGGTTACCGATATTTTTAGAAAGAATGGTTGATCTCATTGTCATATATGCATTATATTCAATTATGTTTAGTCCTTTTTCTTATGCCTACCCTCCTGATGTGTTTTAACATAAAATATGTCATTGGAACATATACTCTTGTTGTTCTTTTTAGTTCTGGGATGTTTGTTGGCGCCTCTGAAGACAAAACTGGGCTGTTGGATCAAATTGATGCGAAAATTGCTAAAGCAACAATGATACCGAGGTCTCATGGAGAGGTAAGGGCTTCTATAATGATATTATACGTACATAATTATTTAGTCTCGAAGATCATCATTTTCGTCTTTTCTACTTAGATGTCAAATTTTAACTGGTCACTAGTGTCTTCCATCAAGCTGTCTTGACAGTCCGTACTGTAATTAATACTCTTTTGAATCCTTGTTTTTGTCACATTGAAAATATGATCATTTATCACACTGAAACTTCTGATTAGCCGCCATGTGATATTGTGTCCAAATGCAGTAAAAAAAAAAATTACTGATATTTTTACTTGTAAGAGACGGCTTTCCTAATTCAAGAATCGGTCATAAATTTGCAGCAAAATGTTTTATTTGTGCTATTTGTCCATATTAGACCTAAGTACCTTACCGGCGGTATTTTGCCCCCATTTTTTCTTTTGGTTAGAGCAATATGTTTTGAATGGTGGAATTGCTGCTTGCATTTGTTGACTTTACTTGATATTGACCATTTTAGTTAATAAGATTTCTAATTTCTTATTCGTTATTCCAGCCCTACAATATCCTGCGTTATGAGATTGGCCAGAGATATCACTCACATTATGATGCGTTCAATCCTGCTGAATACGGCCCACAGAAGAGCCAAAGGGTAAAACAAGTCTGACATTAGATTGCTCTTTAGGCATTTTTCACTGCCTAAGTTGAGATCTAGGAGTGGAGTAGTTATATTGAACGGTTATGTGAGATTGCTTATAAACTTCAGTCTCCTCCAGGGTATTGATGAAGTATTGGAAATACTATTTATATTTCTTTTACAACTGTATGCCTTGTGGCAACAATGTGAAAAGTTCACGAGCTTCTCCGCATCCTTCTAATTCACATTTGCATAGTCTAGGGTGTTTGCTGATTCTTGAATATCAAACCATTACTTGAGGCGAAGATTTGAGGAAAATAGAAAAGAAAATAAAATAAAAACGTTGGGGTTATGGGAATTTCTTGACCTGTCAATGGCTGGGCCATGTTTCTGGTTTATACTTTATACTAAGGTGTTTGGTTTTTTTTTTTTCTTTGCAATAAATTATTAACCCCAACTGCTTAAAATTTTCCAGGTTGCTTCTTTCCTGCTTTATTTATCGAATGTTGAAGAAGGGGGTGAAACCATGTTCCCTTTTGAGGTGAGGTCTTCATAAATAGCTCCCAGTTGAGGATGCCTTGAGTGCTGTAGTTTTCAAATGATAATATGTTTTTGGATGTACAGAATGGGCAAAACATGGACGGGAATTATGATTTTACCAAATGTATTGGCCTAAAAGTAAAGCCTCGCATGGGAGATGGACTTCTGTTTTACTCTTTGTTCCCAAATGGTACAATTGATCCTGTAAGTGCTTTGCTGTGCATCTGCCTTCCTGCAAATTTTGAATTATTGATTTGGTTCCTTCCCATTTCCTTTTTTTTTTTTTTTTTTTTTTTT